CAGGAAATTGCGTTTTACTTGTATTTGAGAGCGCAATTAAAGGACTTGGCAAAGTGCCAAGGAGCCGCACGCGACACGCGCGCTTACGACGGATGTTATGAAGGACGGGAATCTGCGCCGCAAAAAGGTGTAAGGCGGAGCATGGAGGAATTAGCGTGTTTCACGGTCCTGTATCTCCATTCCTGGGCGGGGGGACCACGACACATCGACAGCTGGGGGGCTGATAGTCTCATACACCCTCAATGTGTTTGAGCGTACCATGTGTCTTTAAGAAAGGGTAAATCCAGTAGATGTGCTTTAGGAAGAAGTTTGGGTACGAAATCACCGACATCTTAGCACCGTAGGCTATTCATATTGGACGCTCGGCTACATTCTATCGGCAGAAGGAGCGCGTCGCCTTCTCGATGCAAAACCGCTGGACAAACTCCTCCCAGTCGACGAGTACTTTCCTATCATGTTCAATAAGCATCCAAACAAAGTGAGTCTAGAATTGTTTGTGGCGCAGGAGAAGCAGCAGAAGTGCAAAACGCTTCCCCCCCCCTTTCCACATGAAGTGTGCCATGTTTTTTTTAATCCTTCTGCATAAATTGGGCGAATTTCCTTCGAAAATTCTGGTTTTTAAACTTGGAATGTGAAAGAGAGTTGCACAAGTGTTGACTGTTTCAGGCTAATTTCAGACTTTGCGGCAGCGTTCGCCAGCGACCATTGGCGTCTGCCGGCGTCTGCCAGCGTTACGAGGGCTAGGGAAGTGCAGGTAGAGATCTAGCTCTTCCGGCTTGACCAGCGACGGGCAGCGGAGAATATGGAGAGGTAGGAGAGTGGCAAACAGCTGTGTTAGGAAATTGCGCCGTGTGTAATCGCCCCGTACAGTTACACTACACTGTACATTAAACTGCATAATTCTGTGCTTTAGCAGTTGTACGGTGTTGTTGCATTTTGCATTGGGCAATTCCACTACCCTAATTTAGCTGTTTGCTACCCACCAACTCCCCATACTCTATACTCCCGGCCGCTGGTAGACGCTGGCAGACGCTAGATCGATATCTGTGCTTTCGAAGTCACTGACGGGACGCTAGTGGACGTTGTTAGACGCTGATGGACGCTGCCACAAAACTGAACGCAGCTCTACATCTCTCCGGAATGGTCGTTTAGGTAATTGTGCGAATGTTACCTCCTAGAAGGGTCCCGGATAGAGTTAGAGACTCAATGTCCGTTACAGAATACTTTGAAAGTGTTTCAAGTTTATATGAGAAATTGCCTCCCAGAAAGGCAGATATGAGTGATTCTTACGTGACTTGCAACTCAGAATAGATTAGTGCAGGTGAAGTGCTTATTTTGACTTATTTCCAGGAATGGACATCACATTTTCCCGTGCGAGATCTCCGCGCATTCACTTTGTATCCACTCAGCGTATTTCCTCAGCGATACACCCATGAAGGAAGGTTATGTGAGTGACACTGAGGATTCCGTGGTCGTGGAGGAGGAGCATGGCTCCGTAATGCGAGAGAAAAAGGACGAATTGTAGACGAAGAGCTAGGTTGAACTTGAATTCATTCGGAAGTAACATGCTTTCATTTGCCATAATCTTCTATCTAGTCCGAACCTATCTAATAGGTGCCTTAGATTCTCGTAACTCAACCCTCCTTGTGTTTTAGTTTTTCATGCACTTGGTTGAAATTTCGTAAAGGTATGCACACAGTTATTGTGAAAGAGGAGTTCTTTTCTCGATTTCATGGCACACCGTGCTCAAACATCTCTCTGTTGTTCTGAAACTTGCCTCTAGTTTCGCAGCGTTCTTGCTAACATGTTTTGAATTTCTAAGATTTTCATGATAATCTGTTATTTTGAAGACGAACTGTACGCTTACCTCCGTGGATCCTTTCCCTTTTCCTTTGTGGGGCGAACGTCTGCGCAGGACGTTAACAGGCTACTTTTTCGAATGGAGTGTAGTGATGCCCGAGTGTCGTCGCCTTACCCCGCCCGCGCCATCTTCAACTTGCAGCTTTTGTGTCAACCGTGGAGCTGTGAGGGCAGGAGCGACCCAGGTGGCGTAAGGGATAGCGCACTCGCCTGGGAAACGCGAGGTGCGGGTTGAACTCCCGTCTGGGGTAAGACTTTTGTCAGCATTCTTTCGGCACGTGAACTGCGGCGCATAATATAAAACCTGCGTAAGCATTAAGGTCCCGCGGTGAAAACACGTTTTTGGTGGTAGAGAACAGCCAGAAGTGAAAGGGCGCAGGTGAGTAGCGCGTTTGCCTCTGGTTAGGCGTGTGGCTGGCCGTGCGTCAGCGCTGGTGCAATATCACACGGCAAGGGTCAAGATCACGGTGGTAAGTGTACAGTTGATCTTCAAGCCTTTTTGACTCTGTGCGGAGCTTTTCCCAACCACTGCCAAAGCTGCACTTAACTTTGATCGTAGTTTGTTACTCTTTGTGCATATTCTATATTTTCCTGTAGAATATGTGCAATCATTCACCAGCACGAGGTGCCAAGGTCTCTTTATACGCTTTAATATGTATATGAATAAGGGTGCTCTAATATATCTTGCCTTTCAATGCCTTGTGCCTTATGTACGCCTTTTTTAATAGCTGCTCTGAGAGTGATTTTACGTATAGACTTCATGTATACCAGCTTTGATAAACGCATTTTATTATACGTGTTGTGATTGGAAATGTTACGGTATTCACCTGAAATCTCTCAGTATTTCCTTCTTTCTGGTTTCTGCTTAATGACAGTGTGCGAACAACGGTGTTTTTGAAGAACTGGCTCACTCTTCTTCTCTTTATTTGGTAATTCAGTTTGGATTTTGAGTTGACCTGTGATTTCTATTATGCTGTGTTCATACTTTGGGATTTGAACGATTCAATCGCGCGACCGCCATTGACCGAGCCGCAACTGTGATCGTTGGAATGCTGCAAAGTTCACAAATTTGTACTTATTGTGACCAAAGTAGTAGTTAGCGAGTAAGTAGCAGCGATTTTACGAATAGCGATGGAGCGCGGTCAATCTGTTCGAGAATCGCGCGACTGAGTGGCTCGAGTAGCGAAGTATGAACGCAGCCTAAGGTCTAGTATAGTCGTTATTCATTATTTACCAATAGAGATGCTGTCGTAGGAAGGAGAAATGTAATCGTAAGGCTCCACCCATTTTTCTGCCCATCCGATTGTCGGAAATGTGCCTTTAAGTTTCATTGGTTTAGTACCTCTTTCTATACAGGAAATTCATTGTCCTTCAAATTTCTGACTTCATACACTGTTATCACTTATCATTTGTTTTCATATCGGTCCTAAACACTCTCTGTTCGC